GCTTTTGCTTTTTCATGCCCGCCGCTTTTTTCCGGCTTGGAGATAAGCCAGAGAAAAGCGTCCAGACTGGCGTGAACTTCCGGAATAAAGCCCTATTCCGGAGGATCTCTTATTCCTACTTGCAAGTAGGAGGCAGGCATGGAGCCTTGCAAGTAGGAATAAGAGATCCTCCGGAATAGGGCTTTATTCCGGAGGATCGCGCCAGTCTGGACGCTTTTCTCTGGCTTATCTCCAAGCCGGAAAAAAGCGGCGGCCATGAAAATGCAAATGCTGCGGGGGATATTTAAATCCCCCGCGCATTTGCCTCGTCCAAAGTTCTACATTAGCATGTCTATTTCGTAATAGGCAGCCAATGTAGATGTAGCCTTAGTGTCCAGGACCGGATGAAAAGCTAGCTGTGTCCCGGAGCACACAGCTGCTGCCCCCCTACGCCCCTGAAATGGCGCCCTTGCTTTCAGGCTTCCCCAAGTTCTTCTTTGGGTCTTGGAAAGATACTCAAGATACTCAGCTCAATATAAGGTGGAACAGAGACATTGTGTCTCATTACAACCTGTTTTGTGTCTCATTACAACCTGCAGGACAATGTAGCACTTTAAAGACTAACAAGATGGTTTATTAGATGATGAGCTTTCGTGGGCCAGGTCTGGCCCACGAAAGCTCATCATCTAATAAACCATCTTGTTAGTCTTTAAAGTGCTACATTGTCCTGCATTTTGCTTCAACTACCCCAGACTAACACGGCTACATTTCTATCATTACAACCTGTAATCCACTAACTCCTTTGTCCTGTGGCTGCAGACAGTTTTAATAGCCCACTTCATTTTGACTGTGTTCACTCCTTACATCTGTTTCCTGTGATCTGTTGCTGGGGGAGTCCAGATATGTGTATTGTGGGGAAGGAGAGTGGGGAAGGCACTTTTGTGGGACTCCGGGTTTGATTGCAAACCCAGCACACTGCTCCAGAAGATCCAGCCCTTCAGTTTTCCCTGCTGGGGAGGGGAGAGGGAGCCAACCTGCTATGAAGCTTGCGGGGGAGGGTATTTTGGGATTAGCACAATATTACTTTCTCCTAAAAGCACAAGGGAAAGCTTGATCTCTTCACCTCCCACCCCAGCAACTCCTCCAGTCCACCCCAGTTGAGTGCTGATGTCACACTTCATTCACCTGAACAGCATTCTGTGCATGTTGCTTTCTCCTCATCCAGGGAGCAGGTCCAGCATCCCTCTGGTCTCCATGAGCACCAGGAAGCCTTTGAAGCCAAACCGGAGGAGAGAGCACATTTCACTGTGCAGTAACGAGCATGATCGTCTTGGGGGAGTTGAGATTTAATGAACTTTTTTTTCTCTTTTCTTCCCAGGAGCTCATTGAGGTTGACAGTGAGGTGGTGTTTGAATTGGCTGCGTACATCTTGCAGGTAGGGGCAGCATCTGTCTCTCGTTCCGTCTGTATCTGCAATGCATAAATAGGTTGCAGGGGGGGGGGGGGGGGGGGGGAGGATTACACCACGTGTACAGGAATTGAACAGACAGGGTAGTGTGCTGTTTTGCCAAGCTAGGGAACAAAGCTGGAACCTTTAATGCTAGAGACGTGCAAAGTATCACTAGATATGGATGCAAACTAGGTTCCGCTGTGAAGCACCATACAGAATCCTGCTGTCCCAGTGGAGCGAGGGGCATTGTGTCACCGTGCTGCCCCAGAAGCAGGATGGGAACCAGCTGGAAGTGGATGCTGAAGTGTTCCCCATAAGCTTCAGTTCCAGTGTGCTGGCTGGTGTGTTAGGGCTGGAGCCATGGTTGTACCCACTTCCACCCCTGCCTATCCACTCTGTGCACACCGGTGTGAGTAGGGGAGCCACAGCCCAGCAGCGCATGCAGTGATGTAAGGGGATTCTTTGTGCCCCATCATTCCCCTGTGCTGAAGCGTATCATGGTTCACAGTTTAACCTAATTTGCATCCATATGCACATCTCTAGCACTGTGCCTCGGAGCATCTCAAAGGGCTTTATGCACATCTGTCATGAACTAACCCTTGCCACATGAGCAGGTAGAATACCATGCCCAGCCATTAGACCATGATTCTTTCCTTTCATAAGAGACAAAAGTTTCCAGATTCGCTGACCATCCTGTCTCAGAGCCAACCCAGTATGTAAAGGAAACCTAAGTTGCACAGTTTTGAAAAGCAAGGCCAGTTTCTGCTCTGTCACCCATTCTGCACTGACTTTTAGGGGAATTGCTCCTGATAGATATAGGAGTTGTGCTGAGGACCCACAACTCCACTTGAAGTCAGTGAGAGCTGCACATATCAGCGTTCCTGAAAATCAAGCCTGAAATTTCCACCTTAAGATTCAGCTTCAGTAAATATTTGTCGGGTCTTATTTTATGCAAACTAAAGAAGACCGGCCCAAGCCAAACCCCTGGAAATGTTGGATCTGGAACGGGTTGCTCAAATCCATCTCCAGTTCAACATGGATCACCCATTTCTGGTGTTTTGTAGATAGGAACTGAGGGGTAACACTCGGATTTTAACTTTTATTAACTCTGCAATTAAGACAAGCCCTAATTCTTCAGCAGATGAAGGAGGGGATGGTGCAGTGTAAGGTTTGTGCTTCAGTGCAAGTCACCTGACAGGAGCGATTCATAAATGCAGAGGTTTTAAGGGGAAGTGGGTGGGGATCATTCTTTTTGGGCAGTAATTGTCATGGGAGAAGATCAGAGATAATAGTCAGTAAATTCTTTTTCTCCACTTCTCAGAGCAGTTTTTTAGTCTCTTTCCAGTCATCCGTGAGACCCTGATCCTAAAGGATCCATGTGGAACAGCCAAGCCATCTCATCAGCATATGTTAATACATAGCACTTCTGTAGCATTTTTCTTGTTAGGGAAGCAATTAGTGCTGGGGAGTTTCATTCTTCATTAAGATCAATTTTAGAGTAATATAGCAAAAATTAGAGAGAGAAGGAAACAATTAAAAGCACATTATAGCAGTTGCGTATTGGCCTGCTGGGTGAATCAACATCTCAAACAGCAGGCTCATTGTGAGAATTAGTGCTAGGGAGAAGAATCTATTGTTTGTCCATGCATCCTAATGAATCCTGAAGCAATTAGCAACTATACATGCAAGCCCCAGCCAGGATGCCACTGAACCCCGCTGCTGTGATCTGAAGTATTTACCATCACCAAAAATCCACAGGATATTATACACACAATGGCAGTAGTTTGAAGTGTGACCTAATGAAATTAAGCAAGACAAACCATACTTTTATATGTCAAGGTATAATTATTACAACCTTGGTGTGTGCTGTGCTTCTGTAGAGAATAAAATGAATGGCTCAGCTATCAGTGTGGGTTGGTGCCTGCATTACAGAGTCAGCTCAGCACCTGGATTAGCCATGCTGCAAAGCCATACCCAGGTTACTGTGTCCTCATTTAAAGAAGAAGCAGTCTGGTGGCACCTTAGAGACTAACACGTTTAAGTTAATTAACTGACAATCAATTAACTTGAGTTAAAACAGGAAGACTATAAGCTTTCCTGAGCTATAACTGAGGAAGTGAGTTGTATTTCATGAAAGCTTATGCCCTAAGAAATGTGTTAGTCCTTAAGGGGCCACTGGGCTCCTTGTTGTTTTTGCTAAAACAGACTAACATGGTGACCCCTCTGTGTCCTCACTGCTTCTGCACTCGCTCTCATGTGCTGCTAGAACTTCTGGGGGCATATCCCATTGGTTTTTTGTACCGCAGTAGCCTATGCAAATCTAAGATTAATTCGTAATAAACTATGATAGAATGTGTGTGCCCCGTGCACCCCTGGGGATGTATGGGAAGGCATGAGACGACTGTAAGTGACCAAGTGGTTCATCTTGTGTCCTCACTTCAAAGTAAGTGGGATACCCAAGTGAAAGCAACACCTGAGCTGTAGCTTGAACACCCAGTCAGGCTAACTAGTCCAGATTTAAAGCACCACTACATTTAGGTGAGAGGATTTTGTGCATGCACACGAGGGGAATTACAGGCAACACCCACGTAAGGGCATGTCTACACAACCCGAAATAACATAGTGCATGTCTATACAGCAAGTCCATTACTTCAAAAGAAATGCAAAATAATTGGCTTCTTACTCCCAACTTCTGTAAACCTCATTGCATGAGGAGTAAGGGAAGTCAGGGGAAGAGTGCTCTATTTCAAAATAGGTGCTATGTAGACAGCGCCAAAAGTCAAAATAAGCTATTTCAACTTAAGCTATGGAATTAGCGTAGCTCAAGTTGCATAGCTTATTTTAAGTTTAGCCCTGCTGTGTAGACATGTCCTAAGAGTCAAAGTTAACTCTATCCATTGCGGAGGTTTCACTACTGGACAGTTGCAAATGAAATGATTACAATGCTCTGTTTACACTATAAATATATCATGGTAAAGCAAAGGGTATATCTACACTGCAGAGTATTTCCGGAAAAATGGATACTTACATCCACACTGCTATTGCGTTCTTTCGACAGAACGGAGGGGTTTTTCCAATGGCAGTAAACCTCATTCTGCGAGGAAGAAGCCTTTTTCCGAAAAAGCTTTTTCAGAAAAAGGCGTATGTGGATGCAGAAGAGGGTGTTTTTTCAAAAGAAGAGGCCTCCAAGAAAAAGCACAGGTGCCCTGGTGGCCACTCTGTCTACAGTAATCACAATTTAAATGCGAGATAGCATCCAAACAATGTGGACGCTAACTTTTGAAAAAGCAGATTGCTTTCTCGATGCACTTTTGTTGTGTGGACGCTCTCTTTCGAAAGAAATTTTTACGGAATATCGCTTCCAAAAAAGCTTCTGCAGTCTAGACATAGCCAAAGTAACTCTCGGTTACTTTTTAATGTCAACCACTGTATATATGCTTCATCTATCAAAATATGGCTCCAGCAGATACCAGATTCTGCTACTGATGCCATCACTGGAGTGGAGCAGCACACAGCAGTCTGGAATTGGTTTGTGTTGGTGATAGATTACAATGCTTTCATGGACAAAACATCTAAAATACATATTCAGTGTTTCCCTAAGTACTTTCTTCAGTAGGAAGAATATAAGTTTAAGAACATGGAGTACAGTGTATCCACTACAAACAGAATGGGAAATTTAAATATTCAGAATGTAATTACCCAGACTGGGAACTGATCCAAGTAGTGAGGCTAATACTTGCAAAAGGATCTTGGGCTTTTCAGTGACCACAAGTCACTTGGAATTAGGAGATCTTCTAGCAATGCACTGCCCCTTAACCAGACAGAAATGTTGGCTTAATGCTAAGAACACAAAATTCACCATCCCTACTTCCTGCAGCACCTACCATAGATATCCACTAGCAGTTGTCAGGCTAAGTATTTGCAATGCCCAATCCTATTTAGAACATAAGAACGGCCGTACTGGGTCAGACCAAAGGTCCATCTAGCCCAATATCCTGTCTACCGCCAGGGGCCAGCACCAGATGCCCCAGAGACGGTGGACCGAAGACAATGATCAAGCGATATGTCTCCTGCTATCCCTCTCCAGCCTCTGACAAACAGAGGCCAAGGACACCATTTTATCCCCTGGCTAATAGCCTTTTATGGACCTAACCTCCATGAAATTATCTAGCTTCTCTTTAAACTCTATTATAGTCCTAGCCTTCACAGCCTCCTCTGGCAAGGAGTTCCACAGGTTGACTACACGCTGTATGAAGAAGAACTTTCTTTTATTAGTTTTAAACCTGCTCCCCATTAATTTCATTTGGTGTCCTCTAGTTCTTCTATTTAGGGAACTAATAAATAACTTTTCTTATTTGGTGCATAAGATCTGTCCTAACCTCAGTCCAGAGTGGTACGACAATCCCAACTTAGTTTAAAGGATTCATGCTGACAGTACCATTAAATAAGGAAACTATTGTTGACTGATGCTTGTAAGTGATAAATCTAGAAATGTATCTTTTCCAAATTAAATGTTGCCATTTTAGTGACAAACTTTTCCCCCCATCTTTTCACAGGAAGCGAAAGGAGATTTTGTAAGGTGAGTTGGTTGAAAGTTCTCTCAATGCTATTATTTGTTCTGAAAGTGAAATTGATTACATCTGCTGGAGGAGTGATGTGACAGTTTATAATTACATTGCAATGGGAAGCTCTTCTGAGTGCTGCTAGCCTATTTCCTGCAATAACTTAGGTCCAAAATGCAGCACTGGTCCAGATCTCATATTGAAAACAGCCTTGTTTGTGATGACATTGTTTGTGAATTTCTTAATGTGTTTGTGAAGCTCAGGAAACAGGGTAGCCTGCAGAAGGAAATTACTGAGGAAATGACTCCCCCACAATCATTGTTGTAATATAATATCACATGTCCAGCAGGTCTAGCTGTTATAATTCTCTTACTGACTGGAATTTCTGTGTGAGCTTAGCCTAAATTTTCAAAGGTGGCCTCTGAATTTGGGGGCCTCAGAGTGTGAGCCTGTTTTTCAGAAATGTTGAAAAAATTCATCTGTGGTGGGATCTTGGTGGCTCAAGTGATTGTTAATGAAATGTACAGCATCTCAATTACCAGCTCAGATCAGGTCCACGTTAGTAGTGACCAAAGTCATTCTCATCTTGGTGGCTGTTCAGTGCCCTGTTTATGTTCTCACTTTGATATTTAATGGACCTGTGCCCATGTTACAAAAACAAACTCCACTATCTATTACACTTTGTTGCTCTCAAACTGACTGCCACTGGAGGGCCACCATCATTCTTGCAGCTGATCTCAGGAGGAAAGCCAATGAATGGACAGGCCGGGAGCCATAGAGAAGGTGCCTCTAGTCACAGCTGAGGTGCATTGGTAGAACGGCACTATCAAGCTCACAGTGCTGTTAGGTGTGAATAGAAGATTGTGAATAGAAGATCGTGACTCAACAGATGACCAGATAAACAAGACTCCATTTTCCAGCTCTGGCAGCACTAAACCTTTACCCGGCACTAAAATTCACTTGATTTTTTTAAAAACTGGAATGGTGGAATGTTCATCGCAAACATTGCAACCTCGCCTTGCAACAATCCCGAGTGTGAGATGACACTCCACAAAAGAGAACTCTGGTTCTGCCCTATCATTTTTCTGAGTCCCAGTCAGCTTGTGAAATCCTGACGTGTTTGTGACAAGGAGACACGAGCCTGGTCTTGCTTTATTTCTCAATTCCAGCCATTTCAGAGCAGGGTGCTTATGGGCAGTGCTTATGTAGTCAGGTGGCTCGGACAGAGTGTCATCTGTTTTATCATGCTGGCTGATTCAGAACACAATGTCAAGATAGGGAAGCTGTCCCAATTAAGTCAAACCCCACGGTAATCGCACCTTCCATAACATGCACAGAATTGTGCACAGACTAGACTCGAATAAGGTTCAGGACAGAGCCCATTGGGTGAGGTGTTTCAGAGGTTTGGACATAGAACCTTTCACCTTTAGCTGTCCCATTCCAATCCAGAGCAGAGCTGGAAGTAGCAGTGGAAAGTTTGCACCAACTGAAAGCTGTTCATTGCCCTCTCTCAAATGAGTTGGTCAGGTTTCGACATCACACAAAAACCCACCACAAGAGAGGCTAAGTGACCCTCCATGTCAGGACGAATGTAGTACCTCTACCTTTTATACAGTGATTTTCATCTGTGGATCTCAAAGCTCTGTAAAAAGGTGTCAGTGTCCCCATTTTACAGATGGCACAGAGCATGGCAATGACTTGCCCAGGGTCACCCAGCGGGCCAGAGCTGGGAATGAAACCCAGAGTCTCCTGAGGGCTATTCTAACACACACACAGACCACAATGGTGTGAGGTATGTTGTGTAGGCAGCCAGCTAATTTTGGTAGTGAATTGAAAGTCTTCATGGCTTTTGATGGTCTCCCTGAGTTTGATGGTCTCAGTCCTGTGTCTGCTTTTCAGACTTCACCATTACAACTGGCACGCTGTTGGCTGTTTCATGATACAGAGGCCAAGATAGGAACGGGCCCTGGAGACTGAGCCGCATGCCCTGTAGGCTGCGTTTGAGGCATGTTGTAGTAGCTGGGTAGGAGACGCTTGTGCTGCTTTATGTCCTTTCTCCAGGGATGTCCATATGGCACCTTTCTCAAGCACTTCACATTCACTGAAGTGGGTTTGCTTATTGGGTGAAACCCTGAGCCTATTGAAGTCAATGCAAGTTTTGTCTTTACTGGTGGCAGGATTTCATCCCCTGAAATTTGGGCTTATGGGTTTCATTAACACAGCAATGCATAAACTTGAAGTTTTAGGGATAAATTCAGCCAGATGCAAGCAGGGATACCGTTGTTTGAAGACAAGAGGAGTTTTCCTGGGACTGAAGGTGCCTCTTATTGTTATGTGGCCACGTTTGAGGTTAATCATTGTTGAAATGTTCTTACTAATAGAATTTGCTATTGTCTGACAGGGAGGAGCAACAGCATTGTTGTTACTGAGATATTTTAAAGATTACATGTTGTAAATAACAGCATACATTTCACAAAGTCTGCCCTGTTGAACTCTTGCTTGACTCTTCTGCTTTCTGCAGAAACAAAGCGGTCTAAGAGGTGCATGTTTAGAAGAAAAATTGAAAATTTCAGCAAACGTATTGCCTGAAAGCAGTGTCATATTAACCACTCAGAAGACGGATGGTCTGTCTTTGGCCCCAGTCTAGCTAGCAAAACATTTAAGCAGGTGCTTAACGTTAAAGAAAGGAGAATTCCCCCTAAAGCACTTGTTGCAAAATTCCTGCCTGTGGGGACTAGTGTGGCGTGATATCTGACCTTATGATGCTGTGATCTTTACATCACAGCTTGGCATCAGCACAGGGCCATGTAGGCATGATAACATCAAAACATAATCACCCTGACGTGACGGCACATGGTGATGAGGCTTCATACATTCTGAAAATGATTTAGGAATGTGCAAACCTTCATGGAAATCTGAGGCAGCCTCACAAAATCTAGGTGGCAACTTTCTGCCATTCTTACCCAGTCTGTTACCACTTCTCCCACGATGGCTGCTCCTGCTGCTGGTTGTAGGGAAGATGAGTTGTCCAGTGCCGAGGCATGCTAGCCATCCTTTATTGGACTTTCTCTGCTCATCCCTGAAATGGGTTCATTACTAGGACAGCGCAGCACTCAGGTGTCTTTCTGGGTTGCTAATGTATGAAAATAGGCACATTTTTATCCATCGGTGACCATTTACATTTACAATTTAAGTTTGCATTTTGTGATACATCCTAGTCAGGGCAGAGTTAGAAAGGCGCATAAGAGAAGTCAGAATCCAAGGGGTTCTGGGGGTTGGCACTGCAGACTGGCTGTGTATAACCCCGGTGCTAGCAGAGCTGAATGGCGGCTGTTGGCGTATGATACTCTGCTACTGAATAGCCTCTGAAAAGACCCTTGATCCCAAGCTCACTGTCACACCAATATTTCAAGCAACCCTTGCCCATTGCAGACTTTGGCTAACTGGCCAGTCCATCAAATGGCAAACCAGAGAACATCTCTATCCTTTGCACCAGGTTTCACCCCAGGTTTCAGTTTGTTCAAGGCTCACTCAGCCATCTGCTTTGCTTTGAATGTGAGTGTCACACATCACTAGGGTGACCGTACATCCCATTTGGGCTGAGACAGTCCCTTTTTTAAGCCCTGGCGTGTCCATCCCAGGTTCTTTTTCCAGAAGTGGGCATTTGTCCCCTTTGCTCTTGCCAATGTGATCATTTGGCAAGAACACATGGGACAAATGCCCACTTTTGTTTAAAAAAAACCCTCATTTACCTAAAGATATGCATTTTAACATCCCTAGTATGGAGGAATGTGCAGGGGGAGAGCACTGATGCCAGCCTTTTGTGGAGCAGGGGAGGCAGGGTTCATGCGGGTGTGGGGAGGAAGCATGGTTCCAGCAACCAGTGACAGCCTCTTGTATGGTTTCAGTCACCCCAACCTCCCATGGGAGCACCCAGGGTTCCTGTGACCTTGTGGGGAGGGTGCCCTGGGTGAGTGTCTCAAACCAGCCATCTGAGGGGGAGAAGGCACGGTGAGTGGGGAGGGGACTTGGGTCAACCCCTCATCGTGTCCCGTTTTCCCTTTGGGAAGCATTTGAGGAAGTGCTCTGTATCTCACGAAAGCTTATGCCCTAATACATGTGTTAGTCTTCAAGGTGCCACCGGACTCCTTGTTTTTGTGGAAACAGACTAACGCAGCTACCGCTCTGAAACCTCCACATAACCTGTAACTCATTCAGAATGCATCTCAGCCACCAGCTGCCGCTGCCTCTTGGCTGCTGCCTCAAAGGCTGTATCTACACTGCCACTTATCGGCACAACTTATGCCACTCTGAGCACAAGCACTGACTTTCATTTTTCCAGGTTCTACCCCAACTCTGCCCTGAGACCCTGCCCTTTCTCCATCCCTTCCTGCCCCAACTCTGCCCCCTTTCCCCAGGGCCCTCCTTACCCATACACAGAATACGCAGCTACGTCGAGCACCCAAGGGGGGCCTGCCAAACAGCTGATGGGTGGATGGCTGGTGCATGCTAAACTCCCACTATATTTAATCTGTGGCTACCCCTTGGAGCCCTGATAGAGCTGGCACCTATGGCTCCAGGATATGAATAAGCCACCCTCCTAAGTGACGTAAGTTATGCAAACGTAAACGCCAGAGTGGGCACACTGTGTCGGTGGGAGAGCTTCTCCTTCCAACACAGCTATTGCCGCTCATTGCGGGCTGGATTAATTAAATTGGCTTCCCCATTGGCTTAGAGCAGCTGTACTAGGGTATGTCTACACTGCATGCTGATTTTGAAATAAGCTATTCCAGAAGAAATATTCCGAAATCGCTTATTTTGAAATAGCACATCTACACTGCAGGGAAGCCTCAAAATTAGTCCGAGGCAGGCTTCCCTAATGTAGACATGCTATCTAAATTTAGAGCCCCAGAGGCATTGGAGAGGAATAACTTAGAATGGCCCTGGTGAGGGGCTGTTTTGAAATAGCAGCAGTGAAACGTCTACACACATCTTATTTCGAAATAGCTATTTCAAA